TTGGTGGATCGTTCCTTCTGAGCACTTTAGAAAGTGTCTTTATGTTAAAATATCTACAGATAGAGTTTGGGGGTTTTTTTACTTACCAACAGGCTGAGGATCATTCAGAGTAACAGGAGCTTCTTCTCTTTGTTCAGCGCTGGTGTGCTGACAGATCACATGTGTTCCATTGTTCATTTCTACAATGCGTTCCATGTTTTCTAGTAACTCCCGAATGTTGAGGTTTTCAAGCTCCAGTGACCTGTTATTACATCGTCTGATCATTTCCTGTAAAAGTGCATAATACATAACAGTATGCCGTAAACCTGGATGCCTCACTCTGGGTGGTGATATCAGAACCAGTGAATGATCAAAGGAATGATCACTGAAGAAGTTCAGGACTCTGCAGAGTCTCGTTTTTTGATGCTCAGTGAAGTCTTCAGGCTGTAGAACCAGCAGGAACACATGAGGTCCAGGATCAGAGAGCCTCACACAGTTGTTCACATGTTCCTGTAATTTCTCCTCAGAGATTTTTAGATGAAGCAGATCTGGAGTATTGATGAGAAATATTTCTTTCCCTTGAATCTGTCCGCTGACTCTCACACATCGGTCCAGTTCTTCCTCAGGGTTGAACTTGTTCTCTCTCAGTATAAAGTTTCCCACTGAGCTCCTCTCAGACCAGCTGTTCCCCAGCAGGACAGCTCTGAGCTCAGACACTGAAACGACAGCAAACACAAACACTGAACAAAGAATCTTTCAAAGTTAATACAAGCAGAAACAACATTATGTCATAGGTTTTAATTAATCTAGATTTAATCATTTTCCACTTGTAACCACTGAGTTGTAATTACTGAAAAATGCACAAAAATTGTCAGTTTGTTAAAATATGTGTTATTTTTTCTCGTATTTATGGATCATTACTGAGCCATAAATATATATTCACATGTGAGAATACAACATAAACTTTGAGAACTGAAAAATGTCATGGTCCCTGTGTCTCCCCGGCCAGCCCAATGTGGCCACAAGTGTTTGTTGTTTTGGTAAATGGACTGGTTCTTATATAGCGCTTTTCTACTCTTTCTGAGCACTCAAAGAGCTTTATACAACTACTGGATTCATTATTCATTCACCCAATCACACCAGCACTTTTTTCTTAACTTTTAAGTGCTAAGTATCTACCATTCATACACATTCACACTTCGATGAATGCATCAGAGAGCAACATGGGCTTAGTATCTTGCCCAAGGATATTTGGCATGCAGACAGGAGCAGCCTGGGATCAAACCACCAACCTTCTGGTTAGTAGCTGACCTGCTCTGCCACCTGAGCTACAGCCACCCCCGAGGGCTCTCCTTGCTCTCTCTCTCTCTCTCTCTCGTCTGTCTGCCTGGGCGGAGCATCTGATCACCGGTGATTTGCAGTTTGATCTCTGACTCTTCTTAAGGCGGGGGCTCTGAGCTACTCGTCGCTGGAATATTGAGTAACTCTCGTTAGTATTGCCTGGCTTCATTGTGATTCTGTTGTTCCCGTGCTTGCCTTGGATTAATCCTCGTCTCTGTAAATAGTAGTGATGGCCAAATGAAGCTTTCTGAAGCACTGAAGCTTGTATTGAAAAACGGTTCATTACTCAAAGCTTTTCAACACAGTCCTCTCTGGTGACATCTGGTGGCGAAAATTATGAAGAGCAGCTTGAATCTACAAAATAAAATGGACTGCTTCATTATCACTGCTCACTCTACAGAGTGGAGTTCTGTTTGGCATAGGGCCACCGTTGCGTTGCTTTGAACATGTAATTGTTTTTTTCCTTTGGGGGGGGCTGAAAATACATAAGCATTTTGCAATTTCGCATGATTGTAAAATGCTTAAATTTCTTCAGTATTGAACAGCAGAAATGAGACTTCCTCATGGGAAGTTAGTACATAACGGTAGGCCGGTGGATAATAAGTAAGCGAAAATTGCAGAAAACAGAGATTTGTAGATGGGAAACTGTTCTTGAAGTACACTGAGAGAGAGAGAGAGAGAGCTGTGCATGAAGCGTGATTTTAGCGGGGTGGAAGCAAAACAGAAAAGATACGAGGGAATTCATGACGATGTTTATATGAAGCGAAATGTGAAGTGTGGTTTGGATCTTCATTTGCTGGAGGTTCAGTCAATTTTGTTTGGAGAGTGATGAAACCTGCAGCTGCAGAATCTAGCGAAAAAAAGAGTTAAACACAGAGCGCGTACCTTGGTGCAATGTCGTTGCATCTGTCTTTCTTATCCTCCCTCACTGGTGTCGGATCTTCTTTTCTGTGCCTCTTTGCTGACTTTATAAGCGCCCAACAACATTGTCATCCCCTATGTAGCCGGTGTATCAGAGAAAGTCATGGGGAGTTTTCTCCAAGCACGACATCCCAGTGCACTTCAGACCCAGCAACACACTCAGACACAAACTGGTTCACCCGAAAGACAAAACACAAACTTAACTATGTGTTGTATGCTGTACAGTGTAGCGAGGAATGTCTGCCACCTGTAATCCAGTTTTGAGATCCCTTTCCAGACGCCTTAATGCCCACTCACATCCATCTGACCTCAGGAAATCACACGATAGGGTGGGGCCAGGTTTCACAATGAGCTCACCCAAAACCCTGGCTGATTGTGACCCACACCCATTTTCACACCTTGGCTCATGTGATTAGGTAGAGGATCATCAGGGGGTCCTTTTGTCTCTCTTTGGAGGGA